ATGCCACTTCAAAACAAGCCTTTCTCTCATATTTTTAATTTAAACTACCACTGTCTGTCATGTGACTACATGAATTTTCTATATATGTCACTGTAAAAAAATCGCATGAGGGCAAACTTATCATTCAAGATGACTATCAATGAACTAAAGAGAGAAGCTGAGCCAATTGCTGTGTATGAAAAATTGTTAAGTGAGAGGAAAAAAAGTATCTTAAAAAATTCAAAAAGAAACATGTATTGATATAAATGCAGACATAATCGCTCTTTGGTTAAAACTAAACAGCAGTTCATGCAGAGAGAAAATAGTATTAATTGACTCTTGTGTCACTTGGGATCACATGCCAATTTAATAATGTAAAAATTAGTTGAGAAAGACAGATTAAATATATGTTAAGCCAATAATAATGATACATAAAATACATATTAATTACAAAAAAAGCAGATATTTCCATTTATTATTAGGAATTATACGACCAATGTGAAGGACGTGGATGCGACAGAAAACGTCCACACATCAGTGCTTTTACCCTAACCCTAACCCAGCCCTTGGCTAAACCTTACCTTTCCCATTAGCCCTAACCCTTAGAGGAGACCCTCCTAAGTACAAATCAGTAGCTGTTTTCTTCTGCCTAACTATTTCTCAATTCAGATTTTTGTCTTGAAGTTTCTCATTTATAGACGTTTTCTGTCGACCCCGAAATTTCATCACCAGTGACTGTAACTGGTGTATTTATTTCAATTTCTTTTTTACTTCCGGTTAATTCTTCTGCTTTACTTGAATTCTTTCCATTTCTGATCATTCTAATGGAGAATTTCTTCTTGTTTTTGTTCATCTTCTTATGTTCTGTTCTTTCTCCAGCTTTTTAAGAAGACTCAGCATGTAATTTTTCTTTTGCATCTTTACCATTCCATATGAAGAAAGGAAGGGATGCAGCTTTTGTTGCAAAATCCAACAGATCTCAATGAATTTAATAACTACACTTTCCTTATTCTTTCAACCACCTCTGGTTGATCAATTGCTTATCCAGGCGAATATTTTTCAGTAAGATCACTCTCCCAGCAAAACTTGTTACTGTTTCACCAGTTAATTGTTTCAACCTCTCAGCAGCTCTTTTATAAACTATTGAGGGTGGATTTAACTCATAATCCAAGGCTCCCCAAATATCTCTTTTTGACACTTCAGCTCTGTCTACAGTGTACTTTCTTAACATTCTGATTCTTTTTGCTTCAATATTCCATAAACTTATTTCTGCAGCTGTTCTGAAATTCCTTTTAAAATTCCCGGTTTTTCCTATTCTGTCCATATATTCTTCTACTTTCAGCATATACTCACTAATTTTCTTTTCATCTTGTTTTACTAGAAGAGGGATCACTTCCAGCACTAGCCATTTTAAATATGATGAGAGTCCTGTCAACTGTGCCAAGTTTGTACTTTTCTGCTGTGGCGTTGTAAGTAAGTACTGGTCCAAATAGGACCAAATTTAGAGTAAGCCACTTAGAAAAGGTGAAGAATAGATGGGAGATGAATATCCAATTTAAAACAATAATATTCTACAAACTTTAGTTATTATATTTTACTCTTTATGTATATTACTTGTTGCAACTTATACATGTACCTCTTCAAACCTATGCAAGAAAATGCTACAACATTGACCAAACACATGTCTAATTAGTCAGCTTGAAGGCTCATCTTTAATTACCAGTTAAGGTGTGCCCAAGTTATAATTCAATTAGCCTTCCTAAATGTTGAACCTTGTAACATTCTGTTACTAAACATAAATTTAAACTACACAGTTCAGCAACTGTAAAGTGATGATTGGATATCAGAGGCAAACCTCAAAGTGTATAAATCCTCACTATTTTCATTCTAAGCATCTCCCATCTGGACCCAAGGACCTGTGATATTAACCTGGAAACACTGGAGCCATCCATCTACTCCTCAACATTAGAACACAGTTTGGTAATTTGGCAACCTGCAACCTGCTCTTACGAACTATCTACTCTGCTATTGAACTCTCATATTGCTACTTGTTTAAGTATTATGTTTTTGAATAAATTTTTTGAGATAGCACAATAATTCTATATAGCTTTTATATTTTGTTGTGGATTTTTTTGTTATAAAAAATTATTGTTTTACTGTCTCTGTCTAATGTATTTTGATGTTTTTCTTTTTGCAAAATAAACTTGAAAATTTGAAAAAAAAATTGCCTCATCAGCACCTGTTGTTTAACATGCATCTTTTCCATGTTCTTTGTTCCTTATAGCTGTACTTAGAAAAGTGAAGATGGCACAGCTGCTGCTCAGTACAAAGGAAGCAATAACAAAGCATTAGCCAATTGTAAACTGTTTAAAAATTATTTACTTGTTATCTATGAAAAAGAGTGCTTATATTTTACTCAATGGGGCCAGGACATTTCGGCCCACTTTAGGACATTTCGTCCCAGGACATTTTGGCCCAATTTAGGACATTTCGGCCCATTTTAGAGCATTAATATTCAAGAATATAACTTTCGATTTTATGATGGATTATGTTTATTTTTTCAATAAGAAAGGAAACAATTTCAAAACAGTAAAAGAATGATATAACATACAATAACAAAAATGCAGAGTAAGAAATGTTAACTTTTAAAAAATATTTAAATGTACAAGTCCATCCAATAATTCATCCAAACTCAGTTCTCTTTCTTCAAATTTACTCCGCAACTGAAATATTTTGAATTGTAAATCTTGATACTTCTTTTTTTGTATCTTTCTTAACTTTTTCTCGGACAATAACTTTTCAAAGATCTCTACTAACTCAGCTTCTCTTCTTAATTCTTTTATGAGGGAATACAAGTTCTCATCCATGTTCAAGTTTTTGTTAAGCCTGGAATGCCATGCCTCAACATGATTGTTTGTTCTCACAGCCAATTGAATATTATGTATGCAGGACAAGGATTTTTAGCATATCTTTGAGTACATCTCCAGGTAATTGAACTCTCAGTTTTTCTTTTCATGGAATATGAACAATTTTTGTGTAGAAGTAAGACTTTACCTTTGGTACTTCCACCAACAACAATTTTGAATTCATCTGTTTCAGTTTCCATAATGTTACACTGCTCATCCATCTCAAATGAAGTTTCATCACTGATGTCAACTTTCATATCTCTCATATCTTGCCTATTATCAGGAAGATTCACCTCTTTTTCAATATTTGATGATTCAGTTGAATTAAAGTCAAAAGAGAGTCTCAGCTGTCAAAAATAATTTAGAGTGAGATATTAATATTTTTTAAGCATTGAAATTACCTGATTTGTGTTGCTTTCACTTGCATAATCCATTGAAGATTCCATATCAATATCACTTTCTTGAAGAATTTCACTCTGATGATAATTATCTATTTTCTTCAATTTAATAAATAATTGTCTTCTCCTGACATCATGACAATCAGAGCAATAATCTGTATCTTAATATATAAATGATATAGCATTAAACATTGGAAAGTTTAATAGAATACACTTACTTTTTCAACATTTTGCATGATAAAAATGTCTGCACAACTTGCATCTAAATTTTCTTTGAGTCCAGTGGAACCTCAATCCACACTTCCAACAATTTTTCAAATTCATGCTGTGGTTTCTATCAAAACTAGGATGAAATGCAAGAAAACAAATATACCCTCTACTTTTTTCACAACAGGAAAAAGAAATTGCAAAAAAAAGTAAAATATACTTTTGAAAAAAAGAAAACTGGTAATATGAAAATGTTTCAAATTTTTTGAATGATTTATATATATATATATATATATGTGGAACTGCAATTGAAAATTACATGTTTTTTCTTGTTATTTTTCTAACATGGGGTGAAATATTTTGGGCGGAAATGTCCCAAAGTGGGCTGAAATGTCCTGGGACGAAATGTCCCAAAGTGGGCCGAAATGTCACTGCACCTTACTCAACTACAGGTGGTGACACCACTCTCAGCTTCAATTTTTACAATTCATAGTGAATTTTGGCAAGTTGCCAATCATTTAATAAAAAAAAAACCAACATGTAAAGTAGCTAAGCTATGTATAAAATATGTTGTTGAATAGAATAAAAATTCCACCAGGCAAGCCGGAACTCCACCCAAAGAGAGAAATGAAGAAAACCCCTAGATTATAAAAGGCGCTTTCATTTATTTCAGTGAAGCTTACTTTTTCTTCTAAACAATTTCTTAAAGCATTTCAAAAAGAAAAACAATATTTCTCGAAGAGAGGTCATGGGAAAGCTAGTGAACATTTTTTCTACATTGTAATACCTATTGAGTAATATCAGTGGCGGTGTGAATTTTAAATTTTTCTTTATGAAAAAAAATGCATTTCTATCATAGATGGTTTCTGTCTACCTCAACAGGTGATTTTGACAAAACACACTAACAATATACTTCAACAAGTTATTCATTATATAAGACACATTGACAAGGCATAACAAACTTTGATGAATCATTACATGAGGGACCGGTCAAAAACGGCCATAAATGAAATATTTGAAGGTCAGATTTCAGGCTGGGAAATGGTTAGGAGAATAGGAGAGCTATTGATACGTGCTTAGGAGGGTCCTATCCAAGGGTTAGTGGCATTGAAAAAGTTTAGGCAAAAACAAGGGCTAGGTTAGAGTTAGAGTAAAACCATAGATTTATGGCCGTTTTCTACCACATCCATTAGATGATTACAGTTGAATCTTCGTGGTAGAAACACTTTAACGGGATATGTGATTTCACTCAAATTCAGTTTAAATTTTTTATCACATTTTACATTCAAACTATCCTACTTTAGAAGGAAAGCAAATGCATAATTTTGGCCAGGTAAAAGCAGTATAAAACTGTTTTTTCAATATGCTTCTTTAAGAAAATCTTCTAGTTCAAAAGATTTGAAAATCATGAATCATTTATTAAGAAAATAAGTTTCTTTTGTGCTATTATGATATTAATATTTAAAATTGTTATTGTCAAAAATAATGTTAGAAAATATGAATATTCAAGAAATTTTATAGACTGTTGAACAAATGGTTTTCTTACATGAGTAGAAAGATTTGACAAAAAATGAGTAGGCCTAACTGAATAATTTGTTTTTCAGTTCAATTCATATCTACTTATATCTATTCCAAATTTACACTTATATATTCAGAAAATCTGAAACTTGTTCAATTTACAATCTCTCTTCAAGGAAATAGTTTGGAACATGAATTCTGTTTTTCTTTTAATAGTAATAGTTGGCATAACACAAGCTCAATTTGCTTTACGTTTTAATGAGCTGAGACTAGATAATACTCCAAGTGTTGAATATGCTACAACCACTGGTTCAGGGGTATCAGCTTCTACTCATTGGCTGCTGATTTTGTCTGGTGACACCTCGCCTCCCACCTTTTCTCGGACTTACAATATGGGTGGAAGTTTTTTCAAGCATATTTCAGGTACATATACTTTATCCCACAATCCTGTTCCCGAGCTAGGAGCAGCCCTTCTATATGGTAAGGGAATGTATCATAATCTCTTTGATTATATAATAATCATTTCCAATGAAAAATTTAGAGGATTCATCAGCTCCTGCTACATATAATGATATTGACCCAAGAAGAATAATTGATGCTGTGGCATTTCATCCTACACAGAGTGATGTAACCACATTTACTGAAAAATTACCTGAATGGGATAACAAATATTTGATAGTACCAGGAAAGCATATGTCACGATGTTTCAATTTAAATGCAAATGATCCCTACAGTTGGTCTACAATTCCTGCAAGTAGCTTTGATAATCCAAATCCATGTTCTGGAGGTAAGCTTAAAGTTATCAATTGAATATTTTTAAAAAAGACATTCAAACAGTAAATCCTCGTTCATTTGGAGATCCTCACTTTGAGCAAAAAGTACTGGATAGTATAACTGGAAGAAGTTTAGACATTTGCTATGATGTGACTGGTTCAAGTGGACAAATAATCAATATACTAGATGATAAATATTCAAGAACAAAAGTTGAAGGTATTCTTAAAGATGATTACTATTTACACAAAGCTATAATCACTCATCAAGGTGAAAAGGTTTCTATTGATATTGATTATATAACCCTGGCTAATGAAAGAATGTACAAATGGGAACACGGAAAAAGTGTTGTTTATAAATCATTTTCTATATCAATATCCAATCAAGAAGTAGTTATTGATACTTCTTTTCATGTGTATAACATAAGAACAGTTATTCAAAGGACAAACAAATTATTAACTGGAAATTATATTAATGTAAATTTCAGAGGAATGAGAAATGATAAGAAAAGATATAGTGGAATTATTGGATTAGTTGGCAAAAAGAATATCACATTATTACAATCCATTCAGACACATGGGAAAAGTGCATTCAAAATTAGCAATAAATTGGTATTGGCTAAACTTTCAAATAGATTTTCATTCAGCTGCTATCTTTTTGATATGAATGATTTATTCACACAAAATGAACTTGATCATTTAATATATTTTAATAATTAATATTTACTTTCAATTATCAAGCACACTCCTTTCTCAATATTCTATCTTCTCTTTATTATTCAAGCTAATATGCTTTTTTCTAAAAGTACAACTTTGATAAAAAATATAAAATATTAAAACTCTGGCTATTGTACATTATTAGTTACAATTAAAAAGCGCAAATATAAAACAGTTTCCTTTGCATTCCACAATTCATTTGAATTGTCAGATGAACCAATAAAACCAAAACTTTCATGAAAAAATGAATTAATAGAAGATGGTTTTATCAGAGAAAATAAATACTTAGCAAAGAAACCTACAATTAACAAAATTGCTGACTGGTTACAAATAATATTTTGAAACATATCCAATACATTTCCATAATGCAATCACTTTTGGTTGCCATTTTAAAATCCAGACAGGAAACAGTTCTAGGATCTTCAACTACAATCTTTCAGAATTTTTTGCAGTTTGAAATATATTTACCTATTGAAAACCATCAGACAAAACACAACACTTTAGAACTAATATCAGTAAGTTATAGAATATTGTGTTGAAATTATTTATCCATAAATTAGCTTTATTTTTATAGCAGCCATTTTGTTTATTATTATTGTTAATTGTTTAATCTTAAAAATTAAACAGTTCGTTATTAATAGAGATTGCAGATTGAACATGGCACCAATTTGTTACATTTGTGAAGAGAGAATGGGAATAATTTGAAATTGCCTCAATCACCTCCCTGGATTTACTTGATAAAGCTTCTGACATTTATTCACCAGTCTAAAATATCTTTGTTCTTTAATGTTGTTACACTGATGCTAGCAGACAGGAAATATCAAGTTATTTCAAATATTGAAGCTACAAGACTAGAAAAGTTTGAGGGAAAAAAAGAATCATTTTCGAGAAATGCAAATGAAACAGACAAACCAAATATTGTAAATTATAATGATTGGTATAGAGAAGGTGCTAGAAATTATCACATGTTGCTAAAAACCCAATCAACACCATTAGTAAAAACACTTATTTTGGAAGACATTATTTCATCTGATATTTATTCTCTCCTTTCTCTTCAGTATATAATTCTTCTTCCTTCATGTTGTTATTCTCTTCAATATTCTTTTCCACAAAATCAATAATTTTTTCTTTTTCCTTTTACCATAGAATTAATATTCTTTATGACACTTTCCTTGCTTTTTTCTGGATCATCAATTCTCTTTAACATCATCAAACAAGTTCTTTTAGTTATTTTAAAACAACTCAGACAGAGTTGTTATTCTGTTGATTAAACTGAAAAATAATAAAAAGTATATGTTTTTCAAAGAAGGATTATGTAAACCATGCAGACATAATGAGCATTGGCCTTCAATTTGCCTACCAACAAATTTATCATTGCCAATAGAACAACAGAAATTGAGGATCTCCCCAAATTCTTTTGGTTTTATTATCTCCTGAATGCTTTTAGTAAATGACAATATACAAAAGCAAACTGCCAAGCATTTCTCCCTTGCCTGGCATTCATCTCCATTTTGACAGCCATCACAGTCCAGGGATCAATAGAAGTCGCCCATGGCAGAAGTTTTCTTGTACATTTTAAAAAAGACAGTAGCAAAAAATATTTCTTTTCAAGTAGTTCTTTTTCTCTTTGGCTTCCATTTGAAAATATTTTGAATTTACCATCTCCTTCATGGTTTTCTACTGGTATGCTTTCATCTTCTGTTCTGGGCGACATCTATCATATTCCACAGTCCCGTGTTGATTTTTTCTATATGTATTGAACAAATTGAAAATAAAGTGTGCAACTTTCCTTATATTTTATGCTTATACTATGCAACTACAGTTGGAATATTAAGTAATTATAACAATAGCAAGCTATTAATTTTTCTTTTATTTATAAGATATTTTGTGGATGAATTACATGATATATACTCAACCTTTTTATATAAACAATTGGAGTTGTACAAATCTTACACCACTTGAAAATGAATCTGCACCAAAGTTTGTTTTTCTTCTCTTTTTCAACATTTCTTTTTTTTACAACATTAATTAATTGCCTAAAACAGAAAAATCGACTTTGCGGAAAACTATTGATTTTACACAGAACACTGCATTTCATGGTGTAAAATATATTACAGATGGAAATAATTTCTTTAGAAAGTAAGGAAAGATTTCAACTACAAAAAAACTACTTTTCTAATGTCTTTTTTGATATTTTCAAAAGGATATTCTGGTCTTTTATAACATTATCTGCTATAACATGTTTTATCTACGTTCTTGGGCATAGGATTAAAACTTATCAAAGCTATCCTAAAAGCGTTAATGTTGAAGTGATTTATTCAAATCAGTTGAAATTTCCAACTGTGATAATATGCAATGAAAACTCGTTTAGGTAGTTTTTTCTGTGTTTTTTCTTAGGAACGGGGTTGATCCTCTAAGAATATCTTTCTGTGATTGCTCTAGAATAACTAGAACTTTTGAATTGGGTTTGTATGATAAGGTTGAGGAAGTCTTCACTGGCAATTATAGAAAATGGCCAAAGAATGAAGAAAAAGATGGCGATAAAATACTTGATAACTGCCTAACTAAATTTCCCCAAGGCAGACAGGAAATATCCATTATCAAAGATGCAATGATAAGAAATGTGTAATTATCTTTTTATCACCAAAAGCAACCACCAAACAACTCAAAAAAAAGAATAAATATTTAATCTGATGGCAATTATGATGTTTTTAAATGGATATGCTGAATAAATGATGATAGCTTTTAAAATAATTTATAAGGCCAATGTAAAAATATTTTAGTCAGTTAAGGCAACTTTTATCTGACAACAGTTCAGCAATAAATATTTTAGTTTGCTAATGAGCAGGGAAACTTATGTGAATTCTATCAAACTGATAAAGATGATTTTGACTGGGTAAAGCAAATTGGACCAACTGGTACATTTGACACAGGTCCAATTGAAGATCACACAACGGGTAGAGGCTATTACATCTATGTTGAAGCTACAAACAGGGAACGAGGGTCTGTAGCAAAATTAATATCACCTTTTTTACAATCAAAGAGTAAACTTTGTATGGAATTTTATTACAAGTGAGTCATTAATATCCATCTTTTAATTTTATTTTATAGGGAAGTTAGGTTAGATACTATCCAAATCCACTTTTGAATTATTGTCTAATAAGCATTTTAATTACTTTATTGTTCTACTATGGGTAACTCCTTCAAAGTAACAATTGAACCTGGAGTTTTTCAAGTCATTGTTGAAGGGATTGTTTCCGGTGGAAAATTAGGAGACATTGCTATAGATGATGTAAAAATTGGAAAGTGTAGTTCTCTAGGTAGAAATAAGAGAAGAATGTAAAAAAAATAGTTCTAATTACTTGTTTTGTAAAATAAATATTTAGTTTCAGAATGTAAACGTAACGTAATAGGAGAAGACTTTGAAGGAGTTACCCATAGTAGAACAATTAAGAATATTACTTGTCTAAAATGGACAGAACTAGTGACAATTATTCTTAAGCAATCTGAAAAGGAGCTATTTGAATTTCCTGGCACAAGCCTTGAACAAGTTGTTCAATTAAACAAATACATAAACATTAAAATTTTCAACTTTACATAATTATTCTTTTCTTTCTAGGCTAATAACTTTTGTAGAAATCCAACAAAAGATCCCAAAGGTCCTTGGTGTTTTACAACATATTCTGGTTTAAGAGAATATTGTAATATTCCATTAGAATCTGTTTGTTTGGGATATGACAGAAAACGTCCCCAAATTCATGATTTAACCCTAACCATAACCTAGCCCTTGTCTCTCCTTAACCTTTTTGTTTGCTCCTAACCCTTAGATGGAACCCCCCTAACTATAAATCAAAAGCTACTTTACCCCTCCTAACCATTTTTCAATCCGAAATGTTGCTTTCAAAAATCTCATTTGGGGACGTTTTCTGTCAGCCCCGTTTGTTTGTAACAAACAAACAAGATTGATGGAAAATGTCTAGAAATGAGATAAAATTTGAGATTAAAAAATTGTTAGGAGAAATAAGATACTCAAAAAAGCCAAGTCTTGGTTGAGATTAAAACATAGATTTGTGGACATTTTCCATCACATGGCTTTATACATACAGAATTTTGCCCAATTGATTTGTAAAAATGGTGGGTCTAAAGTAATGGTTAAGAATAAAAAAGGGTGTAGTTTTGGCATTTTCCACAACATTCAAATATTTCTTTGGATGTTAGTCTGTAAAAATATATTTTCAAACAGGAGTGATAGCCAATTGTGATTTTGAGGACAGTTTCATCTCTGGCTATCAAAATTGGAGAACTTTGGACAAAACAATTCAATGGGAAAGATATAAAGGACAAAAACTAAATCAACCCTTCTTGGATATGGTAGTCTTGCTATAGATCACACAAAGAAGTCACCTTTTGGCTATTATATGCTAGCTAATTCGTACAATGATAAACAAATGGAAGGTCAATCGGCCCTGCTCCTGTCTCCTCTCTTTTCAAAGTCACCAACCAACAGTTGTCTAAGATTCTATTATTATATGCACAGTTTTAACAGCAACCTATTGAGTATGGGCCACCTAACTATTAGTATATTTTATAACAATATCGACATTGAGCATCTGTACAGAATTGTTGGCAAACAAAAAGCAGAATGGCAATTGGCACAGATCAACATACCACCAATAGACAAGCCATTCTCCTTTCTATTTGACGCTCAAATTGGACACAATCATCTATCAGACATTGCTATTGACGATATCACTTTTAACAATAATGAACAATGCGATACATTTAATGTGAATGCAAGACTGGAGAAATAATAAATAAGACTCAAATTTGTGATGGAACTGCCAACTGCCTTGATAGAAGTGATGAAACAACTGATAAATGTCTGCTAAGGTTGTTGTTAAAATTTTGTTGTTGTTTAAAAAAAAGAAAAATGATCCAAATACTAATCAGATAATAATGATTCCTGTTCTTTCAATGACAACTTTATGTGTGGTTATACAAGTAGTGGCCCTGTGGATTTCTTCTGGAAAAGGAATGAGGTTCTATTGCCAAATGAGAAAGGTTAGTAATGAGTAGTTTTCCCTATTGAAAAAAAGGGGAATGAAAGGAAATTTGAAAACTACCATTTTTCTTTAATCAATTAGAATATCAATCAGTTGTTGAATGGGAAGGGAAGCTTTACAGAGGCTTCTCAGGCTTCTCATCTAATCTCATCTCACCAGAAGTAACCATTGAAGAAGAAGCAAGATGTCTAGAACTTGATCTATATTCGACATTTTCCTTCTCTATATGCGATAGATTCAGAATTATTCAAGAATTCCAATTCACTCACAAAACATTATTCAAGTAAAGACAGTTTGTTTTTCCTTTCCATTGCAGTTATATAATTGATAGAGTATTGAAAATCCTACAGCTACCTGTTGAAATTTGTACAAGAAAGAAAATGGAATAAAATAATAGTGCCAGTCTATCCTGGAAAGGGTCGCATAATATTCAAAATATACTCCAATGCATCAGCTTATCAACATCACTATAAAATTTTGCTCAGAGATGTACAACTGCACAGAGAGAATTGCAGAGTGATGCGTACCTATAAATCTTTCCTCCTTCTGTCCTCATTTCAAATATAAACTAGTATTTAATTTTTTTTTTCAATAGAGGAAACATGGAAGAATGATTTCAAAATGTCCTGTGTTTTTCATAACCACAAATTTTGCGGATTTTCACAAGATTTCAACAATAGCTATGGATAATTTATCTTAAGAAAAGAATTTAAGAATGAGATTTACTATGCCTCTCTCCATGTAAAAGACTTATTGACTTCAGTTAAAAAACCTGTTAAATTAACTTCGCCTAAATTTAATGTTACATCACCAACATGTTTTCAATTTTGGTAAGCAAAAACCAACAAACTGTTCATTTATCTATTTCTAAACATACTTTTAAAGGTTGACCTTGTTCAATACTGAACCAATGTACAACTTTGGTTATATTTTACATGCTTGAACTCAAATAAACCGTTTTAATTTAAATATTTGTTTAAAGGTTCGAGTAGAACCAGTATTGTTATAACTTGCAAACGTATAGATTTTGCCAGCAAGAGCAGTACAATATTAAAGACAATAATATAATGAAAACAAACTATAAGTAAGTAAAAGTCCATGATAACAATAATAAATAAACAATAAATCTGTATCTTGATTAATAACACAGGCTCAATGATACAAATAACTAAACATGAATTTGCAAGTAAACTATCTTCCTTGCTGTTTTTTGACTTGAGAGATGAAAAATTGTATTATTAGTCTTAATTCTTAAATGTAGATAAAATATTTCTCTGCTTACCTCAAGTAGAAGAGTTTTAAAGTTGGTAGATTTTTTAAAAGACTCTCCATTTCGATGACATATTAACAGTAAGTTGAAAATTATTACAGCATCAATCCTTGATGAATGAATTGTATAATTAAAGATATTGATAGATTTTTGAACAGCTTTAGAACAAGCTATCTCAGTTAAATATTTCCATATCTCTAATCCTAGAATACAAATATTTTATATGTACAATGATTCTTATAATAAAAATAAAACGATAGTTTGGGAGAAAATGTCTGGATTTTTTAATTTTTATACTTATGTGACAATTTCTTTAAAATCTTGTGACATATTTTTCTCTCAATTTATATTAGATTAACTAATAACCCAGCACAGTTCTCCTTTGTTCCTGAAGCATATGCAAACTTAGCCCAAATAAAAGATGAATTAGTTGAAAATCTTTATCAATTTGCATTTGGGTTGATAGAAAACTCTGGAGAAAAAGATGGCCTTGGCCAAGCTATATAAAATGATTAACATAATCTTTTCCAATGTTTTCTATCAGATTCACCAAGGTATTTTGCTTTTTTTGCCTACATTTCCTCTTTCATTTTCCTTCTTTTACTGGTAAAATGTTTAATGAAATCTTTCACTGAATAATTGGCCAAATTAACTAGAGTGTTCATAGGTAGAATAACACCAACGATTAGTCCATCAAATAACGGTTTTATGCTATCATTTTCAGTTACCTTCCAAATTCCTTTTTTAGGTTTAATACAAGCAAAGATAAGCATTATTTAGACATAAAAAATTGTAATAAATGTTCAACCAAGATAGACAATAGGTGTCCAGGAAATGATATTTAAAAGTGATGCCAGAATGCTGTTAAAAGCTATGATGAATTTAAAAATTTTGAGGTATCATCTTTATGAATTTCCTTTCTACGTAAAGCAACTTCATTTACGATTAAAAAGTACATTATTGCTACAGAAATATAAATGAGATAGACAATTAAAGAGTTGAGAATAAATGAATAAATCCATCCATTGAACTTTTCACCTACAGAAAAGATATTGTTACAAGTTCTCTTTGAATTCAAATAATTCTGGAATGAACAAAGTGTAAATGAATGAATGAATGAATGAATGAATGATTGAAGGCAATACCTCAAAAATTAAAACTGGTAACATTAAATTTTGAAACCATTTGCTCTCAATATTTTTCAGATTTGTTTCGCTTAAATCTAGAAAAACCAATTTAAAATATTTAAATACACTTTCTGGTGTTTTTAAAAGACTTCGCGTTAGATTTAAATAAACAATTTCCGGTTGTGTAATTATGTCTAAAAATATCTCTGGTTGAGTGACATTTTCAAGAAATAATAATTTAACAATAAATCCGCTGGTGGTTAGTGTGGGTGGGTTTGAAAATTTCATACTAGAGCATTGAATATGATATGTTGTGGGACAACTGCAGTTGTTTGGACAATAAAATGTAGAATTGCGGTAGAGTTCGTCGTCACCTCCATATTTGCAGTCGTAAATTCCATTGCATATTTGGCTAATATTGAGATAAGTTAGTTCATTTTTGCACCTAAAATAAGCAGGTGGATGGAAATCATCTGCAAGAAGATGGGTAAATGAGGTATAAGAGCAACAGCAGTAACGACAGTCAACCAACTGCAAAATTCTTCATCTTCTCCCATACTGCAATGCCAAATACCATCGCATACATTTTTGATAGGAATACAATACAAAATATCCCTACAGAGAAATTCCCCAACTAAACATTCACTCTTATCACAATAGCGGAAATCATTGTAGATAGGATATGATTTCGTGACCATGATACCCATAGATGAGTACATTAATTTACATTTTGTTCTCTTCCACATATACGAAGATTGCTGGTGGAGCATATAATTTGAATAGTGAAGATTATCATCTAAACAAGCAAATTGAAATGGTTAGGATAAAAAATGAGTAGTGAATGCATGAGAATAGCAGATAGGAATTTAAAATTTTTTCAAAAATTACTGTTTTGTAGGCAAACATTTCTGAAAATCTATAAGGAAAATGATGAAAGGATTAGAAATTATTTCGTAAATATCCAGTATAAAAATAGTAATTTACTGCAAAAGCTTTCATCTTCAGCTCCTCCACCTCTCAAATCTGGAATATAATCACACACTCTGGAAGTTCTAAATTCGATTGCCTAACTTTGCTGTCAAGACATTATCAAGGATAGCTTAAGAATATTAAGAAAATCATCAAGCAATAAAACTCCTTTTCAAATGATAAATTCTCCATACAAGCATGACATTTTTCAGGTGCAACGGAGAAAGAAACTGCATTGATTACTCTGATGAGCAGTGTAAAAAAGTATGATCTTTAAATTTCTTTCTCTCTTACCTATATCTTTCCTGATACAATTCACTAGAAGAAGAATGCAAACCAGGCTGGCTTCATTGCGATCTTAAATCGCATTGTAGCGAAAGAGATGACGAAGGAGGCAAAGTTTGTTTGAGCTTTCCGAAATTTTATTGGAGTTCTACTGAAGGTCCTTTTAGTGTTGGTGTTGCTTGTTGTTTCCTTCTCTCTACTAATTTAATCTTTATTCCATTAGCCTTCTTGCAGAGTTTTCACTGGATAATTATAAAAATGACAAAAGATGCCATTTAATAAGTTAAAAAGCTCAATTCAAACTTGTTCGAATATCATTCAAACAAATATTCAAAGATGTTGCATTGTAGGATTTATAATAATTATTATGGTATTGAATATTTTTGGAATAGTTTTTAATATTTTTTCTGGTAGAAAAATTGACAAATTAATGAAAATAGCTCTGTATTTTTGTCAAATTCTAACTGGATTATCCCTATCAATAACGTTTTACGCCGACATCTATTACAGACATCCGGGTAATTATCTCAGAAATGAAAGTTCTTGGAAGAATAGTATCCTTTGTAAACTATCTGGAATACTAATGAGTTTCTCAATCCTTTGTACTGTTGCTATAGAAACACTGATTTTAGTGTGTCGCAAAGAGGAAAAGAAAACGTATACATTTCAAATTTTTATCTTGGCGTTCAATGTCAAAATACAATTGATAAAATTGGTTTTACAATACATGACAAACTGTCTTGGGCAACATCAATTCTATTTTGGCTATCAATAACAAGTTTAGGTGATTTTTTTCTCCTCATCAAATTCACTCTACTAAAAAGCAAACTTCACTGAAAATATAGGCCTATTTTCTATTTATGGAAATACTTTATTTAAAGACACAATCTATCAGATAGTTTTAGTACATGTTCTACCATTACACTCTGTGAAAGTGAGCATTTTTCATATTTTCTCTCTTTTATATTATAGACATCAAATTGTAAATGGCGTAAATAAGAAGACAAATGAGAAATGTAAGCTATTTTCCTACTAGATGGATTGCTGATTAAACGATATGAATTTTTCTCCTCCTCTTTATAGTATTAATCTTTATAAAAGAATTTGAAATTTTTAAAGAAAATTTAAATTTTAAATTTAAAAAACTTACCCATCCCAAACAAATGTTAACTTTCTGCCAAGTAGTTTTAAATTTTATTTCAATTAGTCATGCGTCTGTTATATGTTTTGATGGTGAAATCAACTTTAATTCCATGTTTAATAAATATGTTGAAAATGTGCAGGATTTTATGTCCTGAAGCATGAATATTATGATAAATGAAGGAAGAAGGTTTCATTTTCAAATGTTTCTATTCTAAGATACAACTCTACAATAAAAATTTTCACCTGAGACATTTATTCATCCATTTTCCTACCTCACTACAACAGAAAATAGCAATACTGTAAAATTGTATGAGGATTTTTTTGGCACTGCTCAACCATTGCTTTTTTTTGTAAGATAATCTTACAAATGGAACTCTGACAAAAACATTCGTACGCGCATTTCTCATTGGAATCAACCAATATACAAGAAAGAAAATTTCCACTCCATAAATCGTTGGCATTAAAATATTGATTATAACCCTGCGAATAAACTAAAGCATAAGGTTCGCTGTTTGATTTCGAACATTCAAAATTTCTTCCTCTAATTTCTACTCCAACACTGGAACTCATCGGCTTATAAATCTGATATAAAAATTTCTGGTCAAAAGTGGTTGAAGTCAGATTTGCGCATGTCTCATATCTATTAGGAATCGGCAATCCTCCCTTATTACAAAGGCTATCAATCATAAAATTCGATTTGCCTCCTAAATTCTGACCAATTTCCGGAATTACTGAAAAATACAATTATTTATATAAACAATCTAAGATTTGGGGAATGTGACCAAACACAATGTCTTTTTAAAATAAAAAAGAACCTTCTGGATGCTGAAAGGAATCAGAAAGGAACATCTTCTGGAAAGAAAACTTTTATCTATTATACAAAGAATGGTTGTAAATTTCAAACAGCAGCTGCCAGGTCAATCAGAATGAAAATTGGCAATTAAATTGAAGAACCAAAACTAAAAGTTGCAAGGCTCACTGTGTTACTACAATTAGGTATAAAAGATGATGTTGGCAAAAAAACACCAACAGTTCCAACAAGTTACATTTGTTAAGACTATTTGTGGACAAACTTGAAAGGTTCTATTTGTGTGAGTACTTTGGCAAGTTGGTCAATGATTGGAAAGGACGAATACTGTTCTGAAAAAGCGGAAATTCCTACAATTACAATACAACAAAGTACAAATATTTTAGCCTGCTTCAACAGACCAATTTGATGATTATCAAAGCTTGACCCTTCCTTAACAATTGCAAAACTTTCTTTTCCTGACTCTGTAATTGATTTACTTGGTGTTGCCTCAAATGAACTTTCATCAGAAGCATTGATGAAATTTCTGAATGTCTTTGGCTCATAATTGTCATCAGTAGAATCATCAATATCTGTAGAACTTTCAGATGAAAAATCAAAAAAAAATAAAGCTATCATAGGATTAAAAAATATTGTTAAATATTTTATATTCTGACAAAATCTTACCAAAGATAGTTGTTTGGTAAATATTAAAGAGCTTTAATATACAGGAAATGCTTGTTTATTGTTTAAATATCAATGAAAAATTGATATGAATATACAGGTTTGTTGTTTTGTTTTATCATAAAATATAAACAAGTTTTTTTCTATCCTTTTCTAACCCTGGCTTTATATACTTGAATGTTGGTCTGTAATATCTAATCATCACTGTACAGTTACCAAACTATCTAATTCACACTTATCTTTAAACACAATATCTTTCAAAGTTGAGCACTTAGGAAAGCTAATTAATCATTGCTTGACCAAACCTTAGACAAGCTCATCAATCGTAAATTGGCCAAACCTTAAGTGGCATTTGAAGATGAACCTCAAGGAAAACGAAGCAAGATCTTTGTTTGGTCAAATGTCATTGCATCTTGGTGCATAGGTTTTTAGTAAATACATGTATAAATTGTATATAATAGCATAATATAAGGATAAAATAGAACAAAAGTTGTACACTCTGTTCACTACAATAAAACTTTACCCAAAACAGCAGTTCCACAACTTTTTCATAGTAATTAAGCCATGATGTTGCTATATCTTGTCTAACTTGTTCAGAAAGTCCTATGTGCTTCCATTCTATATTAGAACTCTTAAAATTTTGTTGCAAGTATATTTGCTTTCCTTTACTGGCATTCAGATCTTACTGTCTATTTCCTAAACCTGATAGATTAGGCTAGGAACTGCTACTTAAGACAGTATTTCCTAATAGCTACACTTGCCCTAGGCCTAACAAGCTTGTAGGTTAGTTCAATAAAGGGCTTGTCAGTCTTATTAATTCATGTCATTTTCTTCACGCAAAAGTAGATGGCGCTGCTAGTCTACTGTAAAAAAAATCATGTCTAGTCAACCTATATAATGAAGCCTGAAAAAATCATTACTGCATTGTGTTGTATAGTAATTGTGGGCATTTCTAGTTTATCAAAGCAGTATTTGTTCTTTCCAATCATTTACCAACTCACCAAAGTACTCACACCACATAGAACCTATTAAGTTAATATATATTGGGAGATTTCAATGTATAATTTATTTATACTACAATTTTTTAGATAATAGAATAACTAACCTAATTATTAATATCGCTCAGGATATAGAATTTTTTCAAATGAGAAATTTCCTGTGATTTATCCCTGCTAGAATCATACTGTTAACAGGAAAATGAGATCATTTTACTATTTTCTTCATCCAGATAATTTTCTAATAGTCCAGATTTTTCATAAAACACGGCATTATTAAAAGTATAAAAAGCACTCTTTCAATACATTTAACTTGAATAAACTCACAATTGCTTTAAATATGAAAGAACTGTTGATATTTATCTTAGGGGTTAGTTCACACTTTGCTATTTGTCATTCTTCAAAAACTAAAATTTCCTTTTGTTTCTCATTTTATAGCTTTCTTTAACAAATGCAAAATTAATAAAGGTAGAATGGAATATTGAAAGAAATTTATCCCCAAATGATGACTATAGTTTAGATATTAGTGCAACTTTTGCTCTAAAAAATTTTACATCTTTAAATGATTACTTTGTACTCTGGACAAATTTTTCAAGTTACTATTATGATAATATTCATGTGGAAAATTACTTCTTTACTGGTTGGTAAGATTTTACAGTCCGCGACAGAATTTGTCGTATTTATTTTTTTGGAAGATTTATGTATCATTCATTTGAAAATGTTTAGTTTAAAGGCTAAAAAACTTGTTCAAAATTGAATAATTCTATTTCAACAGATACAAATCCAAATACAATATTGAAAACAGTGCATTACACAGAAAATTCAATAGATTATATCAAAAGTAACTTGAAATTGGGTTATTTCACTTACAATGATGTTGTAATTAAAAATTTTAGCATTTGTGTAAATGTAAGGAAAAGTACATTTTTTTTTGGTTTTTGCATTCGTTTGGGCAATGAACTGTGTGGAAAAATTGATAATATTCCAAACTTTATTGAATGGATTGAACCAAATTTTCTTCAACCTTCAATAACCTACTCAAAAGGAGAAAGTTTTTCATATACTTTTACTTTTTGGCTTTATCAGACTGATGGTAGTTTTCATATATCTAGAGAATATAGGAAAAAAGTGAATGGGAAAAATATACTAGAACATACTGGAGGTCATGTAAACTTGCACAATCCTGAACAAAAATTGAATTTAGGTAATAATATTTCAGTAGTTGTTTCTTCTACAAAATTGAACACTAGCTTTTATGTTGTTTGTAAAATTATGATTGAAAATCCTAACAATCCTAAAGATATAGATGGTAGAATTGATTTTGGCGTTCAGTCATTCAATCAACCTCACCATCCAAATTCAAAGGAAGAAGATTATCATAATGCAAAGATCGAATCAGTTTTCTCTGTAAAACATTTCCATATTAAAGAAAAACATACTTCATCAACCTTAACAAATCCATTCTTTAAAAGTTGCGTTTTTGAAGGAATTAACGGTCTTAATCCTGACAAATTGATTAATTCAACACTTCCCGCTTTATCCGGCAGAAATGGATGCTTTTATTGTGAAATTGAATACGATTTTGGAGATGACATTGATTTAGAAATTTACAAAGATAATAAGAGAGTTCTAGAAAATACTTGGACAAATAAAGACGTAATGCATAGTTTGGTAATAGAATAATAATTAATCATCTCTTTATTCAACATATTTCACATATATATTTCTTTTCTTTGTAGATTGTTGTTGATTTACCTTTTCCTACCAAGAAGGATGAAGGAATCTATGAATGTCGGGCAAAATCAGTAAAAGATGGACTTTTAAGCATAGCTTACGGAAATGTACAAATTTACTAATAGATATTAGTTTATTATGTTTTATGGTTTCTCTAGGAATACACCAAAAATATAACAAATAGGCCTGCAGTTCTTTTCAAAGTGGAATGACTGCTTGTGAGAGAATGAAAAAAAAAACCAAAGTAGACTTAATGTTGGCTTTGCTGTTGGTGAAAAATATAGTTAAGGTTGATTTTTAGTTTCAAATACAATTAAATTGACATGCAGTGTTAGAAACAAAACAATGAAGTGCCCTGCAAGAATTTCACAAAGAGATAATTCTTTCTTCCTTTACAAAATGCAGCATATTCATCAGGGAAATAATAATTTAAAAGTGGAAGTAAGAAAGTAGTCAAGATGATAAAATGAAAAAAATAAAGAATGCTGAAATTTTAATAATTTATTTTGTTGAAAACTGATGAAGTAAATCAAGATTTGTATATAATATTTATGTCAATTTGAAAAGTATAATTTGGAATAAATATCTAAGACTTTTGAGCATGTTATCTGCCCAATTTTTAAATTTTCCCATGTATCAATATCTTCTTTTGCAGATTTATATAAATCTTTTTTTGATATCTCTTCAACTTTTTTTCAAATAGCATTTTTTATATTGCTGGACAAGATCAGCTTCTCTGTTTAACTCATCTATAAGATTGTAAAATGATTTACTGTTTCCAACATTTAAATTCATTCTGTTATGAAATCCTTCCACATCAATGTTGGTCCTTTTGCAAAGTACTCACACAAATAGAACCTTTAAATTTTCTTAGAATTGAGGCATAATTGATATTTAATTGAACTGCTTTTAGTTGGGGCCAGGACATTTCGGCCCACTTTAGGACATTTCAGCCCAGGACAGTTTTACCTACTTTAGGACATTTCAGCCCAATTGGACTTTTGTCTTAATTAAAAATTTAGCAATACTAGCTCAAAGTATGTATAAGAATGATAATATATTTTAATGTTTTTTAATTCATTGAATACCAGTTTTTTTTTATTTTCAAAGTATATTTCACTTTTTTTACTATTTCCTTTACCTGTTTTTACCTGTTTTGAATTTTATTACTGCTTTTCAGAATAAAATATATTTTTTTTGGCATTCATACTTGACATTTAGTGGCAAAATTACTAATCCAATGAATATTAATATAAAATATAAGACATATTTATACTTGCTCTATTGTCAAGTAGTAAAAACTCTTCGGTTTTACATATACAAAATTCTGTGTTGGACATTCAGTCTCTCTCTCTCTGTCTCTCTCTTGAGCAGTATCTGAAATACTAAAACATAGAGAAGAATAATGGTTTGGTTCAGCACTTTTCCTTTGTTACTTTTTAAAAAATAGCACATTAAGAAAGTCTTAGGAATAGAAACTAATGTTCTAATTACTCAGACATATGTCAAGGAATGTGCCAACATTTATTGCGGTTCCATCCTAATTCATCCTTCGGATTGTAGAGGTAGAGAGGGGAGAACTAGGCCTATATTGATTTATTTAAATATTTTTAACAGAAACAATAAGTACACATAGAAGTGATCGTTCTTGTAAGATGAAAATTGAAAATTAAATAACGGTATTCTTGCAATCAATTCAAAACGAGTATCATTGTCAAATGTGAATAGTGAAAAAGCTGCATTCAACTTTAGAGAACTTTAGATAAAATACCCGAATATAAAAAGGTGAAATTTCCTCAGTAGTTGACTTTTACGACTAAAATATAGATTTTTTTTGAAAAAGATGTTCATTGCTCGAAAAGACGAAAGGCTTTATTTAAGTTTAAAAAGTATTCATAAAACTGGCAATTGCGTAATAAGAGATGGAAACCTAGTTTCTACGCATAGAAGTGATGTTCAACACATATCCTCTGGTAATAGTGTTACTTTTCATTGTTGGAGATATAAAAATTCATATATATACAAAGTCAGACAATAGAAATTGATTCCATCGCCACAGGTAGGTCATTCATTAATACTCTGAACAAATTCAAAAATTCAATTGTTTCTGTCTTTCAGATGATAAGAGAAAAAGCATCCTTTCAAATTCTTTAATAGTAGATAATCAACTTTTTGGCTTGTATCTTGGATCTTCAACTGAGAATTTTGAATTGATTAATACAACATTCATTAAGAATTTAAGAGGTGTATACAAAGGTCAAATGTGCAAAATCTTAACAATTCAATCAAGTTACTTTGAAGGTACCAGAATACTGCTTTTGAACAATAAAAGAAGCAGTATTTTAATGGAAAATTCAACTTTTAGGAGCAGTTTTAAGAGTTTTTCTTAAAATTCAAATTCATGTTAAAAATTTCATTTTGCAATCATGGAATATGAAAATTTTTAGCATCAAAAATCAATTATTTAAATCTTATGTTTAAGCATTCAAACTCCAAAAAAATGAATAGCAAATTGAAATTAAAGATTTTGATGAAATCATTTGTATGGAAAATCAATTTGTGACATATTTTGACATAGCTCATACTCGGTCTGTTACAATTCAAAATAACATATTCAGTAATAATAGCGTATATTTAAAATCTATTTTTTATATTGCGCAATGGTCGCATAAGAATTTTGTTGCGAGGAACAATACATTTGAATATTCTGAATGATGGACAAATGAATTTGATACAGGCTAGTACAAATCCAAGCTTTTGAAATACGTCGAAGCATTCGAAGACATGTAAATTCAAGTTAAAAAAGTTTTCAAATTCTTATAAACACGACTATAACGGAGGAAAAGATCTTGGTTGGGCGTTAGATTGTTACGATACTACTCAACTTAAAGATTGTAAAATTGTACGGAATGCAAATAAGACGATTGTTCCGTATATCTTGTGTAAAGAGATCAAGTTATCAGAGACATTTACAAATTTATACGCGGAAGAAAGTTTCATAAAGAACGCCCACTTTGAAGGAGTTTCCCTAACCTTTTACTCTGTAAAGAATCTGGCAATAAAGGATTCAATTTTTACAATGTGTTGAATTTGGGTGTTGTTGATTTTTTTCATGAAATGTGCTTAATAGATGTAGTGGCTCCACCTGGACACATTTTTAAAGTAGAACAAATGTTTGAAGAGAGTTTCGTTCAAATTTTAACTATTTATTCAAAATTTAAAAATTCATACAGAATAAACATTGGAGTATAAACTAAAATTCTTTATTTCGTCTTTCTTTTATAGTTTTTGAAACCTAATTCTCTTTGTATTTTTTCTATCTAGAAAACTACTTTCGTTTATGAAACTACTGCAAAATTACAATTTCCATACAACTTCAATGGAAATCAAGGAGTCATCATATCTGCAATAAAGCGACCTAGTTAGTAGTGAAACTCCATTAACCTAAACAGTACTCGTCACGGTTGTTTTGTTTCTATTTTTTGCAGTTCTGCAATGTTCATTTAGAACATCTCAATGTGGATGGAAATTTATTATTCTACATCGAATATCTCTCACTCAACCTATCGTATACCAGTTAAGAATCTGAGATATCAAACGTTTTCAATTAAACTGCAATTTACAACATACTTTTCGTTTGGACAACCAGAATTTATTTATTGCGAAAAAGAAAACAATCCAGAATTGAATTAGAAAATTGTCAATAGTCGATTTATGAAAATTAAAGAAACGGCGATAACTATGAATTTTCCAACCATAAATTCTAAAAATTATTTGAGTATGGAAAATTTAAATTTTATTTCAAACAGACATTCGATTAATATTAAAACTAGATACTCAACAATCTTCATGAAAGGTTTAAATATTGAAAATTCAACGTCAAACTCAATTTAAATTCAATATTCCAACAATGACTAAGGACGATTGTTCTCAATTTACTTGCGCAGATATTGGAAATTGTAATGATCGTGGTACTTGTGTTGGCCCAAACATCTGTCAATGCCAACAAGGATGGCACGGAAACAGGTGCTCAATATCAACATGTCCCAGATATAGATCTTGTAGACAATGCGTAGAAAAGAATGGTTGCGGTTGGTGTGATTCTACTCAGAAATGTATGCCCGGAAAACCTGACAAACCATATCAATATTGTCCAGATTGGTTTTATTGGAGTTGTTTCAGTGTGTTATCCAACTCTTGCTCCAACAGAATATCCACTTTCAACTGCAATGAAAAGTACTACTCAAACAGTGGCGTTAGAATTCCAATTGAGCATTGTACTGACATAATTAATTGTTATAAGAATACACCAACTGGATGTAGGGTATGGGACGAAGAAAAGTGTCCAGACGGTCTTCCATTGGCCAATTTGACTAGTGAATTCAGATTGAATAGTATCGAATTTAAGAAAAATGTAAAAAAAATACCAAATTCTTCGTTGCTGTTTAAATGCGAAAGTGAACAAAGATTGAACGGAGATGACAAAGATGAATATGAGATATTTATCTTAAAGAATGGAGATGATGACAGTGATGACAATAAATTTTTAAAAGTTGGTGATGTGATTATCAGTGAGAAGAATATAGAAGGAATCCATCATAAGATTGCCTACTATACGAGTATATATCAATCCAATTACAGAATTCTAGTAGCATACTCCATTAATCCAATAGACCTACTCAACTACGGCCATTTCAAAACAGCTGGTACATTTGGTAGTTTTATTCATCGTAAATTATCTCATTCGACTCCTTCGAAGGAAGATATCGCAGCATTTACTCAATCTGATTATAGTAGGAAAACAACAATCAGTAAAGAATTGAATGTAAAATGTTTAGGTGGAGAATACATGATCAATGAAAAAGACGATCATCGTCGTCATCCATCTTTATGGTCTTACTATATTATTGTAAAAACTACAGCTGAATTAAAGGTGAAGGATGTTGTTGTTGTGGAAAATACTGCTGGTTTCCTTGAAAGAATTGTAGAATTGAAGAAAACAATTGCCAAAGATATATTTCTAGAATCTGAATTTGTTGATTGTTCAACAGTTAATGATAAACTGGTAGGCAAAAATTTTGATAAATTGAATGTAGAAATTTCAATGTTCTTAAAAATCTCTATTACTCTCTTGGAAATAATATCGAAAGTGCTGAAGGTGACTTTGTAATTGGTTCTAGAGCGCAACCATCTTTAGGTTATGTAATAGGCCTAGAGACTCTGTTGAATGGGTGGTTAGCAATAGAAATGATAGATTTAAAGTCACTCTCACAGGATATGAATGCAAATTCAATTGACTTTAGTAAAATTTTTAAAAGTGATCATTTATCGAGTAAACTTTACAGAGAACCAAAACTTTTACTTCAAAACCATTTTCCAAATTTGAAAAAGAATGTAGAGATATTCAAAACTAAACTGGTTTTCTTTGGTTGTATTATCATTTTGTCTTTTTTTTTCTTTCCAGAATCCAAATTTGAAACTGTCAATAAACTCAAAGTATACATCATCAATCGAAACAAA